ACTGAGCTCTCACAATTATAGCAGGAACAAGGAAAAGAAAGTATCTGTTTTTTCATATTTATGACATCAAGAAAATGTTCACATTTATGACATCAAGAAAATGACATCAGAGTTCCAAAGCAAGCATTCCAACCAATAAGAAGCTGTCTCAAGTGTCACCTAGGATAGTCATATATCTCTCTTCTTCTCAAGAAGTAATATAGTATATATATAAAACAGGACATCTTGAGGCAAGGAGAGAGTGGAATGCATGTATTTGGGCAATGCTGTATTCTCCTCTGGTGGGATTGGTTATAGGGCCCAGGTCCTGAAGGAGAGGCCTGGGGAGTTGGATTTGGACAATTGGAATGATGAGCTAGGGATATCTGTATGGAGATGCCAACAGGTTGCTCATGCCAGCATTGCAGAGAGCCATGACTTGGCTAGTTTTTCAGGGCTGTTCTTCAAATGTTAGTTCAAAAGCCTAGGTTTGTAGGCCTCCCTAGAGGACCAGCTTCTTGGGTGTTATTTCATGTTAATCAAATTCAGAATTGCTGATACATAATCAAAATGCTGTACCTACACTAGCCACAACCCAATCTTCTGGGTCTTCACTCAGGTTAACCAACCATCCCAGATTGTCTAGGGTTGTCCTAGTGTTAGCACTGAAAGTTCTATATCCAGAAACCCCCCTTAGTCTTCAGGAAACCCCTCATTTCCAGGGGATTATTGGTCACCTGTTTGACTCTCCTGAGCCCCTTAGCAGCTGAAGCATAAGAGGAGGGGAAATGCAATCTATGCCCTGGATGCAGATGATAAACAGCTCTCAGCCCTTGTGTAACCATACAACCCAGGATGCACTTTCAGGGAGGAAGAACATTGCTACTTCTCAAGTGTGCCCAGATGTTGCTGTTCTGATTGTCTCTCGCTGCATAACAAATTATTGTAAAATGACTGTAAAAGAGTCTTAAAAAACATTACTTTATTCTCTCCTGGTTTCTGTGGGTCAGGGATTTGGTAAAGGCTCAGCTGGCAATACTGGCTCCTTCAGTAAGATAGTGGCTACAGCTAGAACAGCTGGGGACTGTCAACACCTCTGTCTTCATGTCATCTCAGTGCCTCTCCAGGGCCTCCTCTCTCTGTATTGGATAGTTTAAGCTTTCTCACAGCATAATAGCCTCCAGGCAATTAAATGCTCAATTGACACTTCAGAGTTCCAAAGAAAGCATTCCAACCAATAAGAAGCTGCCTCAGGTGTCACCTAGGATATTATTGCATAGACCATTTCCATCACGGTCACAACATTCAAGGGGTGGGACATAGACTTCATTTCTTGACAACTGGAATATCAGCATCACATTGTAAGAAGAACATGTTGAGATGGAGAGATTATTTTACAATGTACAAGTCTTAAAACCCACCACAATTACCTTGGTTCCAAAGGTTTGAAAAATGCAGTTTTTGACTGGACATGGTAGCTCATGCCTGTAATCCCAGCACTTTGGGAGGTTGAGGCGAGCAGATCACTTGAGGCCAGGAGTTCGAGACCAGCTTGGCCAACAGGGAGAAACTCCATCTCCACTAAAAATACAAAACTTACCCGGGCATGGTAACACATGCCTGTAGTCCCAGCTACTTGGGAGGCTGAGGCACGAAAATTGTTTGAACCTAAGAGGAGAAGGTTTCAGTGAGTTGAGATCACGCCACTGCACTCCAGCCTGGGCAACAGAGTAAGACTCTGTCTTTAAAAAAAAAAAAATGAATTTTTTCATTAGTAAAAGTAGTGATACTGTTAAAATATATTTTTCCCATGAATTGTTATTAAGACAATTTTCATTTTGAATGCAAACAAAATGTCAGCCTATAATTGTTTCTTGACTTGTCCTGAAATCCCTTGGTCACCATTCTTCTACTGAAGTGAATATCTCCCTATCTATCTATCTATCTATCTATCTATCTATCTATCTATCCATCCATCCATCTATATCTGCACAGGCATACCTTAGAGATATCGAGGGTTTGGTTCTGGGCTACTGCAATACAACAGTATTGCAATAAAATGAGTTGTAAGAATTTTGGCTTCCCAGTGCATATAAAAGTTATATTTATACTATACTATAGTCTATTAAGTGTGCAATAGTATTATGTCTAAAAAAATACATACCTTAATATAAAAAATACTTTATTGCTAAAAATGCCAATAATCATCTGAAACTTCAGTGAGTGGTCATCTTTTTGCTGGTCTTGCCTTGATGTTGACGGCTGCTGCCTAATCAGGAGGGTGGCTGCCAAAGGTTGGAGTGGCTGTGGCAGTTTCTTAAGATAATGTTGAAGGTTGCTATATAGATTGACTCTTCCTTTCACAAAAGATATTTATGGCAGATATAGCCTTACAAAATGTATTTCTTAAATAATAAGACTTGTAAGTTGAAATTACTTCTTGATTCATGGGCTGCAGAATGGATGTTATGTTAGCAGGCAGGGAAACAACATTTATCTCATGCTCTTCCATCAGAGCTCTTTGATGACCAAGTGGATTGTCATGAGCAGTAATCTTTTGAAAATAATCATTCTTCTAAGCAGTAGCTCTGAACAGTAGGCTTAAAATATTTTGTAAACAGAGGTGCTGCCGTCCAAGGGCTTTGTTGTTTCATTTATAAAGCACAGGCAGAGTAGATGTAGCATAATTCTTAAAGGCCCTAGGATTTTCAGATTGGTAAATGAACATTGGCTTCAACATCAAGTCACCAGTTGCATGTCCTTTGAAGCTTTGAAGCCATGCATTGACTTCTCCTCTCTAGCTATGAAAGTCCTCGTTGGCATCTTCTTCCAGTAGAAGGCTGTTTCATCTCCAGTGAAAATCTGTTGTTTAGCGTAGTCACCTTCATCAATGATCTTAACTAAGCCTTCCGGATACCTTTCTGCACCTTCTGCATCAGCACTTGCTGCTTTACCTTGCACTTTTATGTTATAGAGATGGCTTATTTATTGAAACCTCATGAACCAACCTCTGCTAGCTTTGGCTTTTCTTCTGCAGCTTCCTCACCTCTCTCAACCTTCATAGAATTGAAAGGAGTTAGGACATTTCTCTGGATTAGGCTTTGGCTTAAGGGAATGTTGTGGCTGTTTTGATCTTCTATCCAGATCACTCAAACTTTTATCCATATCAATAATAAGGCTGTTTCACTTTCTTATGGTTCATGTGTTCACTGGAGTAGCACTTTTCATTTCCTTCAAGAACTTTTCCTTTGCAATCACAACTCGGCTAACTGTTTGGTGCAAGAGGCCTAGGTTTTTGTCTGTTGTGGCTTTTGTCATACCTTCCTCACTAAGCTTAATCATTTCTAGCTTTTGATTGAGAGTGAGAGATGTGTGACTCTTCCTTTCACCCGAACACTTAGAATTCATTGTAGGGCTATTAATCGACGTAATTTCAATATTCTTGTGTCCCAGAGAATAGGGACACCTAAGGGGAGAGAGAGAGAGAGAGAGAGAGAGAAACAGCCAGTTGGTGTAGCAGTCAGAATGCAAACAGCATGTATAAATTAAGTTCACCCTCTTCTAAGGATGCAGTTTGTGGTGCCCTAAAACAATTACAGTAATAGCATCAAAGATCACTGATCACATAATTAATATGTGATCACTGATCATATAATTAATGACAGATATAATTTTTTAAAGTTTGAACTATTGCAAGAATTACCAAAATGTGACACAGAGACACAAAGTGAGCACCTGCTGTTGGAAAATTGAGGCCAATAGACTTGCTCAATGCAGGGTTGCCACAAACCTTTACTTTGTAAAAAATGCGAGAAGCACAATAAAGGGAAACACAATAAAATGAATATGCCTCTATCTATGTGGAGATACACACACACACACACAAACACACACACATACCCCTAAATATATTCCTCTCATGGCCCCCAAAATCCAACTGACCAAGAAGATAGGTGTTGCAAAAGTACATTTGCCCTCAAAGTAAGAATTTGGGGGGTATGTGTATGTGTGTGGTATATGTGCTGGTGTACACATATGCACCCTGGGGGAGTGGAAAGAAAGGAGCACTTGGGAGAAGAGAAGGACATTAATGCTACAGGGTAACTCGGGTTGAAAGGAGGCAGGCATCCACAGCAGGAAAGTGCACTGAAATGTTGATGGCTAGAGAGGAAACTAAAAGGGAGACAAGGGCAGTGGCAGCCATTTAGAAGCGAAGGATGGGCATACCTACAACATCATTCTAGTTTGGTCATTTGGTTTAAAATGTGGACACTAACGTTCTGGCCCAACTCTCTCTCTCTCTCTTTCTCTTTCTTTCTCTCTCTCTCTGTCTCTCGACAAGCTCTTGCTCTGTTGCCCAGGCTGGAGTGCAGTGGCATGATCATAGCTCATTGCAACCTCCACCTCCCAGGCTCAAGCAATCCTTGCATCTCAGCCAGCCAAGTAGCTGAGACTACAGGCCGTATGTCACCACGCCCAGCTAATTTTTGTGTTTTTTGTAGAGATGGGTTTTGCTATGTTGCCCAGGCTAGTCTCAAACTCCTGGACAAAAACAATCTGCCCATCTAGCCTCCCAAAGTGCTGGAATTACAGGCATGAGCCACCATGTCCAGTCCCAGCTCTCTGATGCTGCCTCTCCCCCACTGTGGTGCCTAAAACCCATGAGTTATTCTTTCTGGTAGCCTCTAGTTTCTCACTCCAGGGTATTAGAAATTGGGCTTTAAAAAAAACCCAAATGAAGTTATTTGGGGAATTTGCTGACAGCACTTTTTGGGCAATGTTTCAGAAAACATGATGCAAATTTTAATTTTTTTAAACTGATATTTCAGTGGCTTGATATATTTAATATTGCAACTTTAGTTTTATGAATCTTGCATGAGTTCTGTTGTTTTCATGTCATCTCATTATACTATTTTTTGAGCAAACATTTGAAAAATTTAAAAAATGTATAGTATAAGGGAAGTATTGTAATTCTGAGCCACTACTTGTTTAAAAAGACACTTTATTTGTTTGGATCATAGGAATATTGTAATACAGTCCAGCTAGATTCTGGGATAGATTACCGGAAAAGGGAACTTCCTGCTGCAGGAAAACTCTACTACCTGTAAGTGTTTTTAATTTTTGAAGTTTAGTATCTAATCGTTAATCAGAAAAAGATGATAAAAATAAACAGTTTAATTATTGGAACATGAAAGGCTGGTTCTGAAGCCCACGATTTTTAAACTGCAAATGTTTTCATGTTAACTTCTTCAACCCATGTCTTTACCATCCATATTTGCATCATTTATAATGTGTGATTGGATAAAACCCTAATTAGTTTTTTGGGGAGGAATGATGACAGATGGTTAGAATGTAATGAGTATCCTTTTATAAGAGACTCTACTATTATGAGAATATCTTTAAAGTGTGAAGTAATTAATTATTTGTGGATATCATCTGACAAATGTGCCATTTCCATTCCCCCAAAAATTGTTGTTTTATTTGTCAATCTGTTTGTATTTATCATTGTTGATTGACTTCCATATATAACTGATATAAAATATATATACACAAATACAACTGGATATATTTTTGTCTTTTAAAAGCTAAGATGCTCCTGAGTAGGAGCAATTTATAATAATAGATGTATTCAGCATGTGCAGTTAATACTGAAAAACAAATATAGTTTGTTTTAAAATGTCCTTTGTGAGAACCTGAAAAGGAAAAAGTGCTTTACAAAAGCAAACTTGTTTAGTATATGCCAACAGTGTTGGGCACATAGCAAATTCTCAGTAAATAGATTTGTCTAAGGACTAATTGTAATTTAACTAAAAGGCATGTTTCTGGTAATTTAAATTTTGATGACAACGTGCATTTGAGAGGTTGAGAAAAGTTCTTGTCTCTGCCACCTTGTAAGCAGAAGTACTTTACTGTTTTTGAAGCAGAAATTAGCTAGAAAAATCACATAATTAAAATTGCATACTTTACAGTGTACCAAGGGGACTATTTTAGTTTATTATTCAGATCCTGATGATTATTATAGGAGGTTCTTCATCTATCCTCAAGTACTTTGTCTTTAAAGTACTTTATAATTTTAAAAAATTCATATAGCACATTTTTCTGCTTTAACTTGGACTTTTTCTTCCCAGTTTCTTTTATGTTTGTGTTTACTGGATATTTTATTTTTCTGATATTCACAGCCTTTCCCTGATTTTTTGCTACCTATGTCTTGATATTCCAGATGTATGGTACCAATGCATTAATTTATTATTATTCTCTTTATTCTTTTTTTAAAGGAGGTAATTGTTGTTCTCTGTTTTTTTCAAAAAGTGTATCCTCATGTGGAAGAATAAAAATATTTTCCTTATGGGAAGTTCCTTAAATAAAGGTGGTAGTCTGAGTCTAAATTATGAAATTTGTTTCATAGTGCCGAAGAGGTCTTGGAAGTTACGGGAGGTGAAAGGGCTACTTTTGCTTGGAGCATAGCCATTTTTTGTCTCTGACTTACCCTGTGTTACCCCTTCCTTTTCCTGATAAAAGTAATAATATTCTAACCCAGTGAAGTTCAGTTTTGATCTTTAAAAATATGCTAGAGGAAAACTAACACTAACAGAGTTTCCAGAGTCCAGGAAACCAGACCTACAAAGGACCAGACCTACCAGGAAACTCTGGACCAGCTTTCCTGAAAAGTATATAAATTCAAAGGCCAGGCACAATGGCTCATGCCTAGCCAAGCACTTTGGGAGGCCGAGGTGGGAGGATCACGTGAGCCCAGGAGTTTGAAACCAGCCTGGGCAACATAGGGAGACCCTGTCTCTACAAAAAATTTAAAAAATAGCGGGTGTGGTGGCACCTGCCTGTAGTCCCAGCTACTTGGGAGGCTGAGATGGGAGGATCACTTGAGCCTGGAAGGTGGAGGCTGCAGTGAGCCATGATCACACCACTGTACTTCAGCCTGGCAACAGAGCAAGACCCTGTTTCAAAAAAAAAAAAAATATATATATATATATACACACACACACACACACACACTTATATAGATATATATAGGTGGTATATGTCTATTATCTATCTATCTATGTATCTATAAATTCATTTAATCCTCAAGGAAGATAAATTTGTTCTGGAATTTAACATCCAAAGGGTTTGACCATAGTTAAGAATAGAAAGCCTGGGGGCATCCCTCAGTCAGAGGAGAAGGCAGATATGTAAGTATCCCTGAGGAGAATGAGCAATTAAAATCATCTCAGAAGTGGGAAAGTAATATGAGTTACTAAGACAGGATGCTAGAGATGTGCATTATATTGTTTCACATGAGGACTTGGGTAGAACTTCTCTCATGAAGATTTTCTGAGGTTATATTAACATTTGATTTAATTAGGTTTCTTTTCATCTTGCTCTCGCCGAAAAACGTACTAACTTTACCCTGTAACAGACTTTAATGTGCTATGCTATATATTGCCCTATTAAAGCATGTGTTTCTCTTTATTACCATCTGGCCAGACATCTGGAATTGATTCCTGAATATGCAAGTCCAGACTACCCGCTTGTCAGTTTCACTGGAGCCCCAACTGCCTGAAAACAAACAAACAAACAAACAAACAAAAACACAAAAAACAAAATTTTAGCTTCCTTCTAGGGGAACACCAAGCGCTATCTCAGAATTTCATACAAGTAGAATCCCACATAAGATCTTTAACAAAACAGAAGTATTAGTATTCATCAACTCAGTATTTTATTAGTCTAATTTCCCAAAGCCAATTAAAGATATCCAAAATACAATCCAAATAATATCAAGGATTACCACAGATTTCTAAAACTACCCAAAAAGTTGACATGGAGCAATTTCTGTAGTTCGTAATATTGCCTGGATCCCACAAGAATTAATTCACATAAGACGGCATGTTTGTGTGTAATCTATATCACATTAAATTTAGAAATCCTAGAGTACCTTCATAAGTAAGTTTCAGATATTTTTGGCCCTGTAACAACCTCATATACACCCGCAAGCTCAGAGAATTTAAATTTAGCAAGCTACAAAACAGAGACCTTGAGTGCAAATACCCAAACTTTTGCATAGACTGAAACACCCCATGCTTGTCCAATTTTTTATTCTGTGCTAAATGTATGATCACTCCAGAGATGAGCACAGTTTGTTTCTTTTTTTTTTTTCCTTTTTTTTTTTTTTTTTTTTTTTCCTTTTTTTTTTTTTTTTTTGTGGGAGGCACGGAGTCTTGCTCTGTCACTGGAGGGCTGGAGTGCAATGGTGGGATCTCGGCTCACGGCAACCTCTGCCTCCCAGGTTCAAGCGATTCTTCTGCCTCAGCCTCCTGAGTAGCTGGGATTACAGGCACACGCCACTACACCCAGCTAATTTTTGTATTTTTAGTAGAGACGGGGTTTTGCCGTGTTTGCGCAGCTGGTCTCGAACTCCTGACCTTAGGTGATCCACCCGCCTCAGCCTCCCGAAGTGCTGGGATTACAGGCGTGAGCTACCATGCCCAGCCAGTTTGTTTCTTTTCTAGTTGCTTGGTGAATAACACTCAGTAAAGTCCCCATGCTGAAGTCCAGACAGATCAATCAAGCACTGGGCTTCCATTTGCATCTGGATGGAGGCTTGGACAGTAATCTATTTTGAATCGCCTGGTACTGATCAAGGGTGACCCCATCTCATGCTTATAGAGAATTTAACTGCTTCAGATTAGCTCTCTGTTTGGGGGCTGGTAATACTAGAGGTTATTGTTTTATATATGCATATCTTTTTAAACAGGAAGCACCATTCCTGAAAGGTCCATGGTATGCTGCCCCAGGCCATTTTGCTGTCCCTATTGTGAAGCATTACTGGTTTCCTGGGGAGAGGAGTTCACATCACCTTGGACTCACCCTTGCTGTCTCTTTTTTATTCCAAGGCTGAGTCCTATAGGTTCTTTTCTCTACTAAGTCTATTGAAGCAGGGGTTCTTTTCAAACACTCTATCTTTCCATACTCACATACAAACACTCTGCCCTTCACACAGATGCTATAACCTGAAGAGAAGTTCTAAACTGAACCAAAAGGGGTGGGGGCAGGCATTGGTCCTGGGATTTTATTTTACCCCACTTACGAGCCTAAACCTAAAATAGGTTTGCCTTTTATTATTTCGTAAGTGCTGTCAGAAGACAACAGAGACCGACCTGGGTCAGAGACACAGGATCTTATTAGCTTTGGCACAGATAGCAGCATGAGCATTAGCATGTTGTGTCAGTTCCCTCCTTGCTCCTTAGCCCCATGGAGTGGAGGGGAGGGTGTTTTGCTGAGGGCCTAGATAATTCCTGCAACAGGCAGTAAATTGTGTTACAGGAAAAGAACTCCGAGCTTGTGGAATCTGCCATCTTATAGCCAGCATAAGCAAGTCTGCTTTTTGTCTCAAGGGAGATATTGTCTCATCTTTCAAGGTTGCTCACTACACACATAACCTTGAGAAATGGTTAGGGCCTCGCGTTCTTGGCATACTCAGCCAGATGTGAGGGAGAGACCCATGGAGGGGCTTGTCTCTCCCAACAGGGGGCATTTACCTGACATTAGACCTTAAATAACCAGGCTTCCTCCCTTTGTTTCAGTTGGCTCCTGTCCACTGCAGTCATCCACCACTTCAACAGAACTACATCTGAAGCACATTGTTCAGTTGTTTAAAACTTAAATTGTCTCAAGATCATTTCATTTTCATGTATATGGGGATTTTGGATCATCCTGAAAATGGTGAAAAATCTCATTTATGACTTTTTAGACACAGCTCAAATATTCACATATTTGTACTTGGCTAATATAATGCATTTACCCATGTTTTGAACAGATTTCAAAAAAAAAAAAAGTTTTTTCTTACGTACTTTTACTAGTGGAAGTTTTATGTCTCAAGCACTCTTAGTTTTCCACTTGGGAAATATCTGTTCCAAATAGAAAATCATTTTGGAGAATATAACTTTGAACACCAGTTTTAAAAAGAATAACAATTAGCTGACAAAAAGACACACGGCTTCAAGGTTATAGCTTTGTTTCAGAAGAAAGGTCTGTGAAAACTAAGGCTGAAGCTTATATGTGTTAAAACATACTTCCCCGTAACTAAAAACTTCATGTTTCTTGCCTGTG